CACCCCCTACAAACTCGCCATACACACCCACCTACATCCATACCCCTATACCCTCTCCCACACCCCACATACATACACCCTCACAAACCCCATACCCCCACCTATACCCCCCACAAGATATAAGAATAAGACTACATTTTGAGCTATTATGCAATCAACTCTATATACACAACACAAACCAGGACAAAAATATATTTTTTTTAAATAAAATTAAAATATTCTTGTGGATGTTTGAGTTTTAGTATATAATTTGGGGGTTTTTTTTCCCTAGTTCCTAGATGGCAAGCCCTCTTCCCAAATGGAGTACTTCTGGGGTAAAGGGAGGGACTTCTGGTTGCAAAGGTCAGAGGTTAGGGGGCAGGCCTTCTGGTTCCAAATGGTGACCAGGAGGCAGGGCACCTGCCAAGGGACAAGGCTACGCTTGTAGCCCTCAACTGCTTGTCAAAACTCATTAAGCGACCCTCCAGCTGAAATAATTGTCTGCCCCTGAATCTATAGACTGCAACATGTATAGAGATGGGAAGGCCTGAAAAAAAAACAGAAAAATTTGGGGGGATAAATGGGGTTTTGTTTTTTTCTGAAAAAATGGGAAAATAGAAAATTTTAGAAAAATTACAATACCTCTTATGAAATATTTTCTTTTAGAATGATTACTAAAATGTTTAAGATAAGGTGCTCATATATTGCTACTCTTTATTCTGCAAAAATGTTTTCTAATAACTATGTAATAGGAAGACTTTTATGTAAGACTATCTATAGTGTCAGATCATTACAATTCCTGTATACCGAGGACAAGCAGTACAGTACAACTCTCAAATGCAAAACCAAGATGCATTTCTGGCCCAGGGTGCACTGCCATTTTCACAGGAGCTTGTGGACTTCTTCTATTGCTGACTTTTGATGTAGAGGTTGGTGGATCTGCTCCTGTCCCCTCCTGACTAGACCTCAAACAACTGGGAGTGGACACTGGCAGCAGCATCCATTCATTCCTGTAGAGATTAGAAACAAAGACTTTATTGCCCTGCTTGCTCAAAAGCCCCAGAAGAGGAGACAGAGAAAGTCTAAAGGTTTTGGAGTTGGAAGGAACTTGCTTCCTCCTGACCCTGTGACCTTAGATCCACATAAGTACAGAAGCAGCACAAAGGAGCTGAAAGAAAATATACTTCTTTATTGAAAGGTAAGAGTTTAAATTTTTTTGAATTCAGTATAGTAAACTATATTTTAGTGGCATTAGTATCTTTTCATAACCTATGTCAGTCATAATTGAATTCCTACTAATCTGATGTTTTGTGACAAATCACCCAACCTTAGCAGCAAAGTGAGGCCTGCAGGGCAGAGAAGTTGTTCACAGTTAACTCTGATGAGGCCTCTCCTCCATCCATTACTAAATTTGTACATGCTGTAGCTTAGTGTTTATATAAGCAAGCTAGCCACTACTTTAATTTTTTTCTTTTTTCTTCCTCAGCAAAATGGTGCAACCAACTTCTAGCATATGGAAGCATTTCCACCCGGCAAGTTATTCTAAAAAAAAAAATGTGATTTGCAAATACTGTCAAATGAAATATGCATTTCCAAATGCTACTAGGATGACCGTACACATCCTTGTATGTAAAAAGTGTCCTGCAGATATTAAAAAAATCCTTCATGGGTGTAAGTGAGGAGGTAGATCACGATGATGAAAGTGCAAGTAGCTCTTTCCAACATTCTTGATCCAGCAGTCCTTCAGCTGCTGCTGCTTTTTCTATAACGTCAGCATCACAAAGGGTTGCCCAATCAACATCCTCAAGTAACCAAATATTACAGCCAAATGTATACAAAAGACCTTCAATAGTTTCATTTGTAGACAAGATGACACCTGAAGATCAGGAAAAAATTGACCAAGCTCTTGAAAGAGCAATCTAGTCTTCTGGGATGCTATTGTCAATAACTGTAAATGCATACTGCCAGGAAGCTTTTAAATTACTAAGACCACCATACCATTTGCCCAGCAGACATTCTGTGAGCAAAGCCTATTTTAGAGTCAGAATATGAACATGTAATGCAATTTGTGCAAGGAAAAATCAATGAAGCGCTGTGTCTTGCAGTAGTTACAGATGGATGGACAAATGTGCGGGGAAAAAGAATCATAAACTTTGTGATAACAACATCTCAACCAGTTTTTTACGGCATTGAAACAGGAGAGAACAGGCATACCACAGAGCATATCAGTAGTAAAATATGTGAAGTCCTACAAAAGATTGGGAGTGGTAAAGTATTTGCTTTGCTGACTGAGAATGCAAGTAACATGAAAGCAGCATGGGAGATCATAATGGATAAATATCCACATATTACTGCAATAGGATGTGCATCACATGGGCTAAACTTGCTTCTTAATGACATCATGAGGTTGGACACTGCAAAAGATCTATAGATGAGCAAAAAAAGTTATAAAACATGTAAAAGCTACTTATATTGTAACTGCAGTCTTTAAGAAGAAGCAGGAAGAAAAGAATGCTAAGAATAAAATAGTGACACACAAACTCTGTAGTAAAACTAGATGGGGTGAAGTGGTGATCTCATGTGAAAGTTTACTAAAAAACAAAGAAGCTCTTCAAGAAACAGTAATAACTGAGGATCTTAAAGTACCCAGAAATCTAAGGAACACTGGACTCGATGAGGATGTCTTCTGGGTTCAGCTGCAGAACTCCCTGAAGATTCTAAAGGAAATTGCTTCAGCAATTAGTGCATCTGAATCAGACAGTGCACTTTTGTCAGACATTTCTTACCAAATGGCTCAGATAAAATCTACTGTTTTTGAGGATCTAAGTGTATCTCTGCTTACAAGTACAAAAGAAAGAAAAGTAAAAGACTTTATTAACAGATGGGAAGAATTTTTTTGCCAATCAATTCATGCTGCTGCAAATCTCTTGGGTCCAAGATTCAAAGGCAGATATGTTAGTGATGATAGCACTCTTACTGAATTTGACTGGATTACAAAACAAGCAATACCCTTAGGACTTGATGTTTGAAAGGTATTTTCAAATGTTGCAAAATACAGAACATCTTCAGGTATTTGGTCCAGGAATGCGGCCTGGGACTCTGCCAAACATATCCCTCTTGCAGCATGGTGGCAAGGCCTTTGCATGACAGCCTCTGACTCCTCTTGCTTCTCGCCTGTTTCAGATTCCTCCATCTTCTGCAACGTGAAATAAACTGGTTTACGTTTGGAAATACTCACACCAAATCCAGAAATAAACTAACATGTGAAAGAGTAGAGAAGCTTGTCTCAATCCAGGCAAACCTTCAGTTTTCAGAAGTCCATGAAGGTGATAAAAATGAAGGATAAGAAGAATCAGAAGGAACATAAATTGCTAATAGTGATAGCTCAGAAAATGAGACTGATTAGATAAAGTTTCATGCAGCAAAACTTGTATTCAATGAGTCTTGTTTTTAAAGACATATAAAGACAGATAAAAGTCTGTCCAATTTCCCCCTTCAATATGGCAGCCCCTCCAAAAATCTTTGTAGAAATTAGGCAAAAATCTATGGCAATTGCTGTTACTGGGAGTTTGAAACAGTGGTTTCAATGCAAGGTGGCTTACAAGTTAGGGCCAAAGCCATGCAACCAGGGCCATCCCACAGACCTAGGAAGAGAAAAAAAATAAGCTCCACTCTACTAATGCAAAGACAAATGCAAAGATCAGAATTTTTGGTGATGTAGCCTACAGATTAAAAAATTGGAAGAAAAAGCTACAGCACGGAAAAATCACCCCCAGATTGCTCAGGAAGGCATCCATTTCTGTTCAAGTAGCCACACACTGTTGCAACTGATTTTCATTACAATGCTCTGTCACAACTCTGAGAACTTGTCCTTTTCTACGCTGAGACCTCCTTCTATCAACTTTGTGTCACCTCTCTTGACTGTTACCTTTGCATTAAAAGTCAGGAACAAATGTCATGAGGCAGATGAGCCCATGGGCCTCCCCGCTGAAGTTGTTCCTCTGTTCTGCAAACTGATGGCACCATCTACAATTCTGTCCTTGTTAATTTTATTATTGTACTAATGAACTGGGGACATCCAAGTGCTGAGGAGCAGTCTGGATACTAAAATGCAGCATGCAGATTAACAACTGCTTTGTGGCCCACTGTTTATGCCTTGTCATAAAATAAGCCCTGTGCCAGGCATGAAAGACGACCAAATTCTGCTCCACATAAAACCAGTGGAGCTGGTTCCAGGGCTAGCTCTCCAGGGCTAGGGACAGACATTCAAAAATTATTCTGAATTGATTTGATCTTTTCAGGTTAATCTGACCTGCCTAGGCTAAATCATTTTGTAACTGCACAGACATCCCAGAAATGCAGGTACATATCTGCAGTGGCTCAGGCTAGGAGCTGGGGGACACTAAAGCAGCCCTCCCTTCCTTCCACAGTACTGAGCTGAGGGTGAGGCGTGGCCAGGCCCAAGCAGGATGCTCTAATTAGTCCAGCAGGAAATTGGTAACAGTGTTTATAACCCCTAACTCAGTGTTTATCACCCCATTAAGAAAACAATGGGAACATTACCAGTTACCTGTTGATTCTGCTTGTTGATTCAGCACCAGACTGTAGCCAGCATGTGGTCTGCTACTTAATACACAGACACCTCTTCAACAAGGCAGAGAGGAGGAGGGAATCCCTGCTTGGGAGGGAGTAGTGAGGGGGAGCCAGCAAGCACCCTGCAGTCTCTGGAGCTGCATCCAGGGAGCGGAAGAGAGGGGCCAGCCCTGCTGTGGAGCAGAGAGCCTCGCCCAGCCCATAGAGCATGATGGGATGCTGGGGGAGTCTGATTTATCTTAAACCAGCAAGGGGTCTGTGACAGACATTGCATAAACTGGTTTGAGCCAAATCAGTTAAATCTGATACTATATTCAACCAGGTTTATCTCAAACCAGTTTCAGCCATTTTCAAATTGGTTTATGTCCACTGAACATCTGTTCTGTTACAGGTTTAAACCAGTTTCTGATCACTTAAAGTGGGTTATATGTAATGTCTGTCCCTAGCCCAGCAGTCAATGAGGCAGCACCAGGCTAACTGAGAGCAGAAAATGGCCCATGATACTGTTTCTTTAAAACTATTTCCAATCTCAAACCTTCAGACTATTATTCTGTGCAGACCAACAGCTTTTAACCAGTGTGTGGGTCTTTTTTGCTCAAATAAACACTTTTCTGTTCCCTGTCAAATTTAATGGGCCTTGGGTTTTGTTTCTATTTGCTCCCCTAGGTATTATGCTCATTTGGTACAACTTGATCAGGCTTTGCCACTTGAAGCCACAATAGCTTTTCCCCCACTGAGCTTACAACAGAGAGAAAAATGTGTTTGATTAGGATGCAGACAGAGAAACCCCGATTCAAACATACAGAATGTCCCTTTAAGTAGCGCTGAACTAAAAGCAATTCAGATTTAAGGAGAAGCTTTTACTTAATGAACAAGCAAGCAGGGAAGAGAGGGAATCTTCTGCTCTTGCACTCACAGACAAGATGCTGGTTATTGGTTTCAACAGCCCACTTGTCACTAGCACAACCAGATCACCTTCTTCTCCTGGATGCTGCCGTAGCAAATGAAAGCATTGGCTTGCAGAGCAGAGAAAGTGCATTTATCACTGCCTGCTTGGATGATGCTATTGTCTCTGGTGACAATACAGGTGCACAAACCCAGTTAGGATGCTCATAGCCTCACAAAGCCAAACAGAATGTTCTTCCCTGGTCCACTGGGCTTTAAAAAGCAATACTAATGTTTCTCTTCTCTCCTCACTGTTTTTGGAATGCTAATATGCCCTGCTCTTCCCTGTCCGGAATCAACCTTAGCAGGATGGGGAGGAACCAGAGATTTACTGAGTCTCATCTCATGATCTTCAACAAGAACTGCAGAAGCTCAGCACCACTGAGGATCTAACCCTTAAAAAAGTGAAGGGCCAAGGGGCATGGGGCAGCAATTTTGTCCCAGTTCAGTCTGTATCTGAGATAATGCACTAGATACCATAGGCCAGGAGTGGCCAGCCTGTGGCATGCATGTCACAAGTGGCAAAGGCAACCTGTGTGTATGGCATGCTGCAGATAATGGAAGGAGCTTAGAACAAAGTAGACAAAGCAGGGAGCAAAAAGCAAAGCAACAGTTCAGGCAGGGAGCAGAAAACAGAGTAGCAGATCAGACAGGCGAAGAGGATCATAGATTCATAGATGTTAGGAGCTGGAAGAGACCTCATGAGATCATCAGGTCTAGTCCCCCTGCACTTGTGCAGAAAAGACTGCTGGGGTCATCTGACCCCAGCAAGTAGGGGTGCACCAATAGAGATTTTTGGGGCTGACACCGACAGCTGATTTTTAAGGAGGCATATCGGCCATACTGATTTGATTTCCAATAACAGCCTGGCAGCTTGAATAGCAGTGTCCAGCTAGTAAGTCTGTTGTGGTGGAAGGGGAGGGGGAAGGGAAGGGGTGTGGGGGGAGCAGATGGAGGCCTCTGTGGTGTGGGAGGGAGTGGGGCTGGGGCAGAAGCTGCCCAGCCAGGGTGGGGCGCAAGACAGAGCTCCAAGCAGCTCATCCGGGGGACATGGGTAGGGGGTGCAGCTCCCAGAAGGACATAGGGGGGGACGTGTGCCCCAGGATCTGCGCAGGATCTGCTCTGTCCTTGGGGAGTCCTCTGTGACCCTGGGGGCCTATTCTTTCCACACAAATTAGGAGGGAACACCCCAGGTAACTTAATGGGCATTACTACTATATTGTAGGGAATTTGAGACAGCTTGGCTTTGGTGCTGTCTCCAGGCTGCCCAACAGAGCTCGGGGGAGGAGGGGGGGGCTTCAAGAGACATTTGGATATTTATCTTGCTGGGATGCTATGATCCCTGCTGACTTCCTGCCTCTGGGGCAGGGGGCTGGACTTGATGATCCTCCAAGGTCCCATCCAGCCCTAAT